ATATGGCACCCAATGAGGATCTGTCATACGCATGACATTCACGCGTGCGGATAATTTTGCACGCGTGAATGCACTGTGAGACCATTGTGCGCGCATTTTGTTATCTGGGAACATGATGTTAAAATGACGTCCTTGCAATGACGTCAATAATTTTGCGACATTAGTACGTCATTAGTACGTCATTAAAACGTCATTTAATGACGTCAGTCATGGTCAGTAAATGACCCAAATTTGACGTCAAAATGACGTATATTTGCTACCTGGGATGTACCATTTCATTATCTTTCAATAATAAAATGTATTACGTTAAAATAGACAATTTGGTATAAGAATTCTTTTAAAATTAATATTAATCTTTTTTGATTTATTTTTAAAATGTAAAAAAATTAGACCGACAAACTTTGAGGGGAAATAGAGGATAAAAAAACAAAAGGACATGAGGACATAAAAACAAACATATTTTGTTAATAATGTTTTTCTCTACGACGCTCCGTTTTAATATTATAGGGTACAAAATAGGAATTTTATGATTTTAACAAAAAACAAACACAAGTGGAAAAATTAAATTTATTTCAATTACACATATTATTTTAATCTTCAAAAAACAATTAACAAAAGAACGGAACAAAAATGCGCAAATAATTAGCTCAATTTATAATAAATGTTCAAAAATTCCTCCATTTGCTTCAATACAAAGATGACAACGTCGAAATTCGGATTAACGATTCTGTTTCTGTTTCAATGCTTCATCGATAAGAGTTGTAAAAGTTAAAGATATAAAAATAAAGTAAAAGTAAATACAAAATACCCTTGTGAAGCATGCTTCATTAATAAACAGTATTGAGGGCAAACAGCCCGATAAAAACGTTATAACGTGGATTCCACGTACTGTTTTTATCGGGAGAGGACTTCAACATAAACATTTTTTGTATTTGGCAGTTCTTTGTCCTATCAAAATGCAAGATTTGCTTTTTATTAATAATTGTTCAATGTGCGTGCGGTCAAAATTCATGTTTAGAAATCTTAATCTTATCATTTAAATAATTCCACCTTCCATCAATACTTTCTAAAGCCTTATCAATCGGTATGTTCGTGAATAAGGACACAACATCAAGAGAGATCAATGTGTAATCATGATTAATATAAGTGCCTCTTAATTTTTTAACTAATTCAAAACTGTTTACGATATTTCTTTCTGAATTCGGTATACATTTAGATAAATTATTAAAGACAATAGTGATAATTTAGTTACAAAACAGAGTTGGTTTTTGGTTCCTTATATTCCATCAATCTCTGAAGCCTTCAAGAGAGTGTGTAATTTGTTTAACGTAAAAATGGCTTATTTTGGGTTGAATAAAATGAATAAGTTTATTAGAGTACATAAGGATTTGTTATCTAAGGAAAAAAAAAGAGAAATGTTGTGTACAAAATTTCCTGTGATTCTTGCGATGCAACTTACGTTGGACAAACAGGACGAAAATTAAAAACACGAATTAATGAGCATAAGAATCACATAAACCATAATACCAACTCACAATCAGTCATTACAGAACATAGACTGGAATATGGACATGATTTTAAGTGGGATAGCGTTGAAGTATTAGATTCAGAAAGATATTTAAATAGACGTTTAATTTCGGAATGCATACACATCCATTTACAAGATAATGGCTTAAATAAACGTAATGACACAGAAGGTTTACATCATAATTATAAACTGATGTTAAATGTGTTATGTCGTCCCGACCTATACTAAAATAAAATTTGAAGACAGGATTTCGGAACGGCTTATGGTAGGATAAATCTTTATTTAATGGAGTTGATCAGGATTAACCATCCTCTGACGTACTTGTGAAACAATAATCACAGTCGATTGTGAGTTAGTGTACGGCCTATCTCCCGTTTCGATTAAGTATCTTCGGAAGTCGTGTAAAAGCTGATTACATGTACCACACGCGGATATGGGGTTGCTACGCGGAAATAAACTGTTGCACAAACGGCAACGGTCGGATTCGTCAAAAGCTCCTATATGAATATAGTGACGTGAAATGCTTGTATACTGACTGCGATCGTAAGGAGACTTGTCCGCGTAACATACGGCGCAAATTCTAATATTACTTTGCTGATATTGGTAGCTTATGGCTGTACAACAGAGAGCGGTATTGAGCCACGCCTGATAGGGAACGCTTATATTATCCCGGAGGATGTTATGATGTACCGGATTGAGTGGCGGACTCATGAGTCAAGAGAGATAGAAATAATTTACTTTAAAATAAAACCGTGATTATTTG